TTGGCGGGAGTTCTTGAACTGGCAGGGCTTGGATGTGGATGGCATCATCAATGCCATGATCGTGCAGCGGCGCCACCCTCGGGTGCCCGCCGGCTGGCCACAGGTCGTCCGAGACATCGTGCTGGACGTAAGTACACCGTCAGTTGAAGACGGTCAGTTGCAGACAGTGACCGATGCTCTGGTCGGTGCGTGTACCTTTCTGGCTGCAGTGCCTGGAGTATCGGCTGCATCGTCGTCCCAGCGCCGCAGAGGTTCTGTATCGGTTGGAGCAGCTGACGGTTGCCGATGTCCCCCGTAAGTAGGTCAAATGGTCATTGGTATGTGCACGGCATTATTGTGTCTCCAAAAGGGCTGGATGGTCATGCAGGGAGAGAAGCTGGCCATCTCGGTACCGGAGCGGCAGTTGCTCAGAAACCTTCTCGACAAAGTGAGACAGGGCGGGATGGTGGGTGGATCAGCCAGCAGCTGCACCGCAGTCACTCACCTCACCTGACGTGTGGTTTGGTGTGGTTTGGTGTGGTCTGGTATGGCCCAGAGGACGGCATTAAAGGAGATGACTCGCATGGCCGAGGACGAGAAGGACCTGTCGCAAAGGGTCAAGGACCACCTACCCGCCAGGCACGAAGAGGAGGAGGCTTCAGCTCCCGCGGTGCCCAAGGCCAAGGGAAAGGCCAAGGGAAAGGCCAAGGGGCGCGCCAAGGGCAAGGCCAAGGCGGGGCGCGCTAAGGCCAAGCGCGCCCCACGCAAGACCAGGGCTGCTGCGGCTGCGGACGATGACGAGGAGGAGCAAGAAGAGGGCGTCGCGCCGCCACCAGCGGCAGATGAGGGGCAGGCAGCAGCAGCAGCAGCAGGTGGTGCTGGTCACCCTCGCCGCAAAGCCGCCCAGGAGCCCTCAGGTCAGAAACAACTTACACACATGAACGCATCCGCCCACTCGTTGAATGACACTCGTATGTCCGTCTGTGTGTGTCTGTGTTGATCGTTCAGCTGCTGCTGCTGAAGCCCCCGAGCCCCCTGCGCCTCTCTCTGGATCACCACCTCCACCACCCCCTGCCCCCTTCACTGCTCGTCGCCCCCTCACTCGGGCGGCCGTCAAGGAGGAGGAGGAGGAGGAGGCCGCCCAAGAGCCAAACTCCCCGCCGCCCCAGAGCGGCCACAACAGGAGGAAGCGCCGATGCGAAGACGACCTGGCCACATCCATACAGCAACAGCGTACGCACACATACACACAGCAATACGTACATGTCTTCTTTCTGTGGCTGGGTGGTGTGCAGATCGCTGGCTACATTTTATATTTGATCGACGGATACCAACCCTTCGACAGCACTGCCTTGCCCGAAATCATCCGCGAAGGGTATGTGAGCTGTCAAAATAGACTGACTGATCAGCTCCCGTGTACGTGTCTAGTGTCTGTGTGCAGATGGATGGCTGTCTCCCTCTTATATCACCGATGTGCCTACTTCGTCCACGCCTGCGCCCGGCGGCCCCACAAGTACGTAAGTGAGGATGAAAGACAGACGGTATAGAAGCTTCATCGTGTCTCTTCTCGTCTGTTTGTTAACGCATATTTGGCCGCTTCGGCGGCCATCGACAGACGTATGGGCAGCTAGTTGGCCAAGCTGCCGGACGGCTATGGACCCATGGAGCACGGGAAGACTCCCACGACCACGACCAACCAGGTGCGTCTCATGCACACGTTGATCTGTACAGATTCAAAACGACACACAGACACACACACAGACACCCACACACATTATTCGGTCTGTCTGAATGTCTTTTGCTTTCACGTCTGTGTGCCTCGCGTGTGCAGACGTAGCTGCCATGCACCGTCGTCCTTTGTGCCATGGGGTGATGCTTATGCACCCGTTCTTGGGGTCGCTGGTGGACTGTGACTTTCTCGCCACCATTGGGGCCACGAAGTGACGCGTCAGGCTCAGCGAGATGGAGAACCTCTGCCACAACAGTATCATTCAGGTAGGCTGGTGGGTGCGTGGGGCGACCGGGCCAATGCATTGAGAACTGGTGTGTGTGTGTGTTTGGCGTGTGTTTGGTGTCTGCCAGCTGGACTCACACGCCTTCAAGTTCGACGCCCTCAATGCCATGCTTGAAAATAGATACAAACGGAGCGGGAAAGACTCCTATCCAGAGTTTTGGTGGGCCTCATGCACCCCTTCTTCGACCGGCCGGGCTTTAAGGCGGTCAGCAAGCGCACAGCCATCCATCCATTCATCCATCAATCAATCAATCAACCAATTGTCGTGCTGTTCGCCTGACGTGTTGTGTGTGGTCTGTGTGTGTGCAGATCGGAGTCATGGACCGCACCGCGAAGCCCGCCACCGAGCGGCTCTTGGTCGACGGGGTGCGGGAGTTCCTCTGGTCGAAGCGGCCCAAGAAGTTCACCCACTACCATGAACTCGCCGACGTACCCAAACACACACTATGCCATGCACACATGCAGACACCGTCCAATCCACCAACCCACCCAAAGGCACCAGACTGACACACGTGCCTCTTTTTCGATATGGCTCGATTTATCCCGCTCTTTGTCTGTGATTTGTTGTCGTTTGGCTGCCCTGCGTGTGTGTGTGTGCGTGTGTGTGTGTGTCTGTGAGCTGTGTGTGTGTGGCAGGCGTCAGTCTCGCGTTTGCCGGAGGTGAGACTGACGCCAACATCCGTCGCGTGGGGAAGAAGGAAGCCCGAGAAGGGAATGCCTGCCTGGACCCCAACGGGCGCATCATCAACTCGAGAACTTCAAAAGATGGTTCAAGATCGTCAAGAAAAGACAGGATAAGCTGAGGACAGAGGAAGTGGGTGACATGGGTGGGACAGGGCGACGCTCACCGTTGTGTTGTTGCTTGTATGCAGACACAGGAGCGTGGACTCCGCATCACCTGCGCCATCTTCGGCGCGGCGTTGGTGTGTGGCGCAATGGGGTTTTTCGTTTCGAGAGTCGGCATTTCGGTGCACAGCTGACTTCTACCACCGCAATGTTGCATGTCGCTGCCATGCATGTCTCTCTCCCCTCAGGTACAGGCGGCGCACGATGCCGCTGCTGCTGCCGCAGCTGCTGCTGTGGAGGCTGCTGCCGCTGCCGCCAAAGCCGAGGCGAAGGCCAAGCGGGAGGAGATGGCCACCGACAAGGAGGCCGCGGCCGCAGCAGAGGACGAGCAGGACGGAAAAGAGAGGGTGCGCATGCACTCACATACGCACAGACGCGTTGATGCAAACACACACGAGACCTGCATCTGTCTGTCTGTCTGTCTGTCTTGGAACAGGTCATCAAGGAAATCACAAAGGGCAAGCCCGGGCCGCCCGGCTAATAAGGGACGAGGTGACGCAAAGAATGAGAGGAGATGAATTGATACCTACCTGTCCATCCATGTGTAGCTGTGCTAAACAGATGCGTGTGGCGATCGCTGCCTTCATTTTATATCCCGAGGTCCTTTCCTCCTACGACCGCTGCCCTCGCCGCCGCCCCAGAGCAGCCACAGCAGGTGGAAGCGCTGCTTTGCAAGGATGCCGGCCTGCCTCACGACACTTCACGACTGGTGCGAGTAAGTTTGTGCGTGGTGGGCGGGACCGCTGAGGATGGTGCTGGCATGTTTATCGCGTGATTGAGGGTTGGTGGATTGACACACTTGATTTCATGAGAGACCGACAGACTCTGTGCCTGTATTTCCACATCCATTCATATCATACCATGAAGCTGTGAGACTATGTGTTCTTGCATATCGCGGCGCCAAAAATAATTTACTCGGAAAGCACCAACACGCAGCATACACAGTACTGATCGCATGTATGAAAGACAGACTCTGACAGAGAAATCAACAACGTCCAGCCGAGTTAGTCATTCACTGGCGTTGCGCGAGGGGCTCTTGCAAGCAAATTGTTCAGCGCGTCTTGCTGGGCCTCCTCGGCTGCCAATTTCTGGTTCTCCTCAATCTTCCGCTCCAGATCCTCGTAATACTTGTCTAGCAGTCCGTGTCGCTCCAGGTACTCCCATGAGCCTGGCCCTCCCTCCCTCTCCTCCTTGCCCTCCCCATTCATGGCCCTGATCCAGCCCACATCGCGGCGCTGTGTCCCCAGATCCAATGCCGCACAGATAATCTCCTTCGATGGATGGACGATGGCGTTGATCCAGCCACACACACATACACACCATGTCATCCATATGTCACACTTGGCTGGCGGGCTGGCCTGCTGGCTGACCATTGCGCGGCTGAAGTCATCATGGTCCGTGGTTGTGATCCACACGGGCGGCGCGCAGCTCGCCACCTTGTGCTCGGCTGTAGGCAATATCGACACACCACACAGTGAATGGCACGCATTATACGCACTTACGCCTGCCCGTCCGTATGTGCGTCATGTGCCTGTCGTCCTGTCTGTGGCCGTCCTTACGTACCTTTTGATAGCTCACGCCACATGTCTTGATAGAACTCCACGAACGACCGATTGTCTTGGCAGCACTGCTCATAGGCGTCCACAAGCACGCCCAGCTTCCGATCAATCTCCTGATTAAGAAGGAATGGATCACACCAGGTGTACGTGCGTGTGGTTGGCTTTGGCCGCAAAGTACTTACGGACCGTGTCGATGGGTCGTTCTTTGACAATGCGGCAGAGGGCAGCAATGTGAGCATCTGTGTCGCGCTTTTTCACTGGAAGATCATCACAGAGTTGAGGGACCCCATTTCTATTGCCCACATTATGCGCATCTGGTCGAGCTCCTGATCCTTGAGCACAGCCACGCCCTGGTACGCCGTGGACAGAGCCTCATACACGCTCTCCTCCTCTTGCCGCAGCTGAGTGACCTCCACTCGCTTGGCCGGCCGACGTCGCATACGCCGAAACCGACGGGTAAACCGGCGGATGAGCTGGCGCGGATTAAGGCTGAGCCTGGCGGTGATGGTGTGATGACGGGTAAGGGGCCGGGAGCTGGTCGTGGGGAGGGGCTTGTGCACCATGATGGAGTGAGGGGGACTGAAGGCGGCGGCCATGACCAACAAACAGAGAATAGCAACGCAAAACATCATTCTCAGTGTGGCGATGGATCCACTGAGATGGATCAAGGCCGTTTGTAGAATGAACACGTCACCTAACACATGCACACGAGAAGCAAGGACATACCCATTAGCCAGTCCTTTGTGTATGACTCATCCACCGCCTCCAGATGCACACGGCCATTCACGAGGGGAAGAGGCGGGCGGACGCACAGGCCAAGGAGCGCTTCGACGACGGTGTCGCCCGCCTTCCCCCAGGACGCCAACGAGCTGCTCGGCGCGCGCAGGAGGCCAAGACGCACGCGTGGCTCACGGCCATGCCGTCGTGCAGCGACCAGACCGACCTCAGCGGCGATGCTTTTCGGGACGGCCTGGCGGTTCGCTACGGCTACCGCCCACCCAACCTCCCCTCCAGCTGCCCAGGGTGTGGTTCCGCCTTCACCCTCACGCATGCCCTG